GAAGAGAAGGCAAGCTCAATTGGGTTGAAGTCCGGTGAGTATGGGGGCAAGAACATGAGCCGCATGCCGCTACATATAGTTAGCCACAGAGATTGATAAAATCGACACTGAGAAACTCACCGGGCTTCGATGAGCTCCGCAATGTCGGGGTGCTTGTGGATACGGGCATTGTCCATCACAATGACCGAGTTCGGTCGCGGGAATGGTTGCATCTTGTCCAGCAGTCCTTCGATGAACTCCATGAATAGTTCTGTTGTAAATGATCCTTCAACAATCTTGACATGTATTACACCGTCAAGTGATAAAGCCGGAAGTAATGAATACCTACGAAGTGGTTAAAAAGAAGAAGAAGACAAGAATATTCATCTATACCGTCGGCCCCGGACAAAGAAACACTTCCTTTGCGCTTGTTCTCCAGATAGCGCCCAGGCTTTCCCACAGATGGAGGTACGCCTGTCGAAGGAGCTCTCATCGACGAACACGGTCTGCTCGGCACTATATTTGCTCCCGTAATTGTAGCGATATGCAGTGCGCTTCGCCTCGCTTCGTTCCAGTGCGAGCCGGGTCAACTTCGATGTAAATCAACCTCAAACCCTCAGTAGAGAATTAGAAAACATTACGCACCCTCTTCATAGTAAATCCACACCATGTGAGCGACCTCCATATCGTCGATTCGTTGACTTCTACACCCAGTCTGTCCTCCAGGATTTCCTGAAGTTCAGACAGATAGATATCGGGGTTGTGGTGTACAAGCCCAACCAGAAACTGAAAGTTCAACTTGAACTGAAGTTCTTTTTGCACAAAGTGGAGAGCTTACATTGGTGTCGCTCACAGTCAAGCTGTGCTTGCGTCCGCGAAGCTCCTTGTACATGTTCTGTCGCATAACTGTACCCTTATTGCGGTAGTCCTGAAAGATTCATTCAATTGTTCGACGTTTGACACGAGTCATTGCCGCGATTGCTGTCAATATCGTGGTTCATTCCCATGTTCAGAATAACCCCACAGAGATCGTCAGAGAGTGGTTTGCCTCGAGGCATCATGTTGAGCAAGTAGGAGTTGTGGTTGAACTTGTTTCAGGGCACGTGAATGTGATTTCAACCGGAAGGCTGATGTACAAATATGTAGAAATCTGACCCCAAAAACCCTGGGGCGCCCTAGCCCTCAATGAGTACTTCAATTTCCCTCTTTACACCATGTCGATATGAGCCCTCGTTCGCGAGATATGGCTCTTGTGAGTTGGCTGTTCAAATGTGGTGTTTTTTGATCACGAATCAATCACCGCCAACTATTTTGCAAGTTGCTATAAAACTGTTTTATTGCTATTTGCAAAATAGTTGGCGGTCACGCGTTTTGATCGAACAAACACCACTCGAACCATCCAACTCGCGCAGGCCATATCTCAATGAATACTACTCGGAACCCTCATGAACCATAGGTGTTTTCGAACCGTCGTTTGGAGCTCTAGAGCGCCCCGTGGTCAGTTCCGCGATCTGGTGACCTTCTAGTCGACCTCGCTGGCGGGACTGTTTCTGGAGTGCACGAGCTGCAGTGTTGGAGGCGGCCGGTATTTAGGTGGTTTAAGTGCTTGGTAGCGGTCTCTTGGACGGCAAGGACGGCACCCCGCGACTTTCGAGATATGTGCTCAAGTCAAACACCCATTTTTAGGCACCATCTCGTACTCTCAAGACTCAGGTCACCGGCTCACAGTTTCTTTCCTCTCAGCTCTGTCATGGTGATATTGCCGCAGACGACCATCCTACGCTTCCTCCCCCACATAATAACATGCCAGATGGACACACGGCGCTGTCACGCAGCTTGTAAATGAGAATGGGATCCCACAGTTTTTCTATTCAATTGTCATTGTTGTACTTAGAAAATGCTCAGTGTATAGCATGAAATGTGCTAGTTGTACCCTGAAAGTCTGAAAATGAAGTCTGGGGCTATCTGTATGTCAGAGTATAGACGGTGAGCAGCCGTGCGGAGAACAAAAGCATTTATGAATAAATTGCATCATTTATTTCACATTGAAAGAAACATATTACCCCAGAACACTAGGGGCGGCCCTCCTGGAATCCATAGGAACCCTAACAAGCGCTTAGACCACCCAAATACCGGCCACCTCCATCTCTACAGCTCGTGCACTCCAGAAACAGTCCCGCCAGCGAGGTCGACTAGAAGGTCACCAGATCGCGGAACTGACTGCGGGGCGCTCTAGAGCTCCAAACGACGGTTCGAAAACACCTATGGTTCATGAGGTTCCGAGTAGTATTCATCGAGATATGGCCTGCGCAAGTTGGATGGTTCGAGTGGCGTTTGTTCGATCAAAACGCGTGACCGCCAACTATTTTGCAAATAGCAATAAACTGTTTATAAACAGTATTTTTGGGGGCAACTGTCCTTAAAGCCACTGCACCTATTATATTGCCTCTGGATTGCCTCTGTCCTTTCAGTATTAACCATGGTGACTTCTAGGTATGAAAATGGCACATACCTGCACCCTATGGTCGCCACACATCACAATTGAAAAGGCTCAACTTGAAGAAGTGGAAGCCAAGTTGAAACCTTCAAAGAATTTGAACTCCATGATTCACGGGATTTCTGGGTGGAAATGGTTCAACTCGTTAGTGAGTTTATATAATTAATCCAAGATACCTTGCAGTTCGGAATAGGGGAGGAGCAAAAAGACATGGGATCATGTTGGTTGAATTTGAGGCTGCCGAATGCCGGCTTCGATGGCGCCTCAATCCCGAACCATCAATCAGTTGAACAATTACCATATTTGGGAGTACACCCCGGCCGTCGAGCGCTATGGGGTGAGCACCGGTCAGTACTGGCATATGGATGCATCAAAGAGACGATATAGTGGTGGAAAGACATTATTGAGTGCAATGCTTGTTCTGATTAGCACTGGCATTACTCTGTGAGTGCTGAGGATTTCCCTAACTGTTTAACCATTTAAAAAACAGTTTTCAAACCATTTGAGCCCTCAGGAAAACTAAATGGAAACGAAAACGGTTAAAACTGTGTATAAATGTTTATACACGGAAATGGTTGGAGCCTTACAAGCTTTTATGCGGCGACTTTTAGCTCAGTTGGAAGAGCATTGGCAATCAGCACTGCGGGGGCAGGGGCGTGGCGTGCATGCAGCTGAGTGCGTCTACGCAGAACATATGTTACATGTAGACTTCGGAGTCTCGGAGAGGTTTAGTGAGCTCACATCGCCTTACACTCTAACTTTTACCCATCAACACCATGACCTAAAAACGAGGAAACACAGTAACACCCAGATGCAAGGGATATATAGCCCATGCACAAAAGGGATACCTGTTGTACTCTGAACGGTCTCATTCATCGCACTTTCATTGCACTCCTGCCGTCCAATGCCCGTCACACACGATAGGGGTTCCCGAGGTGTTTTTTCGTCTCAATCTCCCTCCCCTCCAGTCGCATTGCTGGATGTTGTAGACAGTGGCATTTCAGTCCCTCCGTGGCGCCTTGCTGGTATATTGGTCTAAGCTCCAGAGATATTTCCACCCTCCCCTGTTTCTTCGGGATGTTCAGGACAACATTGCAGTACCGGTTCAACCCACATGCACGACACCATCACAATAGACACCCATTTTTTTCCCCTTGGCCTGGAAGACTTGCCCTCCGGTGCTTCGCTAAAATTGTACGTGGGTTGATCTATTGTTCCTTTCAATACATGCTATGCTCTGTCATGCTATCTACAGCGTATTACTGCAAGGTCTCGGAATCTGGGTACGCTAATGTCCTGGATCTCTCCCTCGCCGTATCCCGCCCTGTCCTTAGTCGAGAGACGACCGACTAAAGACTCCACCGCACCGCCCTCTTCTCGGGAACCACCTCGGACTGGGCGAATAGTCCTCCATGCCAGGCACCATAGCATCCATATCTTTGGTTGCCTGTATGAACCCAATGTTGTGCAGGTAGGAAATGCCCACCACCTCTACGCGATGCACAACAATGTTATATTCCTACCGATGGTTAGTTAATCAGAGGACGAGCACGCTATTCGCACCCACATGCTGAGGGTCATCAAATACATTGATCATACAGCAATTAGCCAAATATACTTACAACACACTGGCTCATTATTCTACTACCCCGGTATTTAGACCTGCAGGATATACATACAGCACATTGGGATAATACCAGTAAATCTTGTTCCCTCATACTCAATTCTGGAAACCAGGCCGCCCTGGGGCTCTGAATGCATCTCAATTGACCCACCGGTATTTTTTCTTTTTTATTACCTGTTACGACCATGCACTTTCCGATCCTTTCCAGTTCCTTTACGGCCGTTTACGGCCTTTCCGGTTACAGCCTACTTTACGGCCGTTGCGTTCTATCCAACTTTCCCGTTGCATCCGGCTAGTTCCGTTGATGCACAAACCTTGGGGTTTTCGCAATGAAGGTCTTCTGAGCGTTCCCCAAATCAAACATATGACTTATGCAACTATGCTTCTCTCTTATTGTTCTTATTGTCTTTCTCTGCACTTATTGTCTTTTACATACTTCTTTCCGCATTAGACTTATCTCCGTATTTAGTATAAATACGTATTATGTTCTACTGTATCTTTAGTTGAAAATTAACGTGCTTTGCCTCCGCATCACTCCGTGGTCTGACTTCTGTCTTCTACGTCTCTGAGCCAACTTAGTTGGTATACCCGATCCGCTACGTGGTATCACTTCCGGCCTCTCCGTCCTTCCGGCCCTTCCGTCTTTCCGGCCTCCCGTACTTCCGGCCCTTTTCCGACACGGATATAACATTACCGATCTAGCTGGGGAGGTGTTTGACGGGGTGCTCAGGTTGTGAAATGGTGAAAGGAAGAGAGTATCCGTAGCATACAAATGACACATGTATGTAGTACGGGCCCCGGCTGTTTCTTAACGGGACCGCGCCGGTATACGTCCTCCTCCTCCTCCTTCCTCCTCTAAGGTAATAGGTATATCAGTCACACAATGAGGTGTTATAACATCCGACTTTAGCTCAGTTGGAAGAGCATCAGACTGTAATGGCTTACATAATCAACTCCTATCTGAGTTAATCTGGGTGTCGCCTGTTCGAACCAGGCAAGTCGGATCCTTTTTGCATCTTCCTGCTCCTTCCAAATATCACGCCGTCTTTCCCATTTTTGTGCCAGGTAGACCCCGAACAAACCTCATTTTTGTTTTCCACATTTTTAGCTGAATGGTGTATGTCGCCTGTGCGAACTGGGCAAATGGTATTCTTTCAGTTGTAGAATGGCTCTTCTGAATAGTTACACTGCCCAGCTAGAACGAACCCCCATAGGGAACTATTAGTGTTGCTTGTTTAAACTAGGCATGTTTGAGTGGCGCCACTATTCTTGAACAAGCTCGACTGAAAGACTGGAAAAAGATCTCGAAAAACTTCACCCCTGTTCCAACCAGGTAAGTTGATGTGGCTTAGAATGAATTCTCTCACGATCTCCTTCACTAGAAAGCACTGCCCTCAGCGGCACAGCCCTTGCCTGACGGGGTCTCATTTTTTACATACACTGAATTCAAGAATGAGCATGGCAATTCTGTAGTACAAGTATATCTGTTAAGGAACTTGTTTCGTGTTTCGTTTTCTCAGTATGGTGTGGTCAGCGGTCACTGTTTCGTTAAATCATCTTGGGAAGTTTCTCAGAATCATCTTCAAAGTTTTTCAGACAGATTTGGTGGACATTATGTCACCCCCAGCTGGGAAATTGAGCCTCTTCAATTTATATCATGGCACTTTCCCGGAGTTCAGGGCGAGAAACAATTCATCTGCTACAAGACTTCGATGATCAAATTTTCACGCAAGCCCACAATCTGATGTTGCTTGCGGAAGATGACAGACTAGAAGATTTGAACAAACAAACAATGAGATGGTGGAGAGCAATGCACTCGAGCACGGAGATGGATTTGAGCTTAGCAACACAGTAATATACAGAAATGTAAAGAATTGTCTGCCAGTGTGACATTAGCCAGACCTGAGATGCTCGGTATTCTTTTACACACCTGGTCTATTGATCTTTGGCCACCTACATTGTCTTGTTAGAACTGAGTGGTAGAGAAGAGATGGTAGTTTGGATGTTTTGAAAGCGATCGAAGCGGTCTGTGTTGTGGATTGAGAATTGAGAAGTTCCAAGGCTAAAGCTTTGCTGGCGGATGATGTGATGTGAGTTTGGTGCTGGCTCCAAATCTGTTTTGCGTCATGTGTGGTTATCCCGGCAATAGCGGAGTGGGATGATCGGATCACATCAAATTCGGGTGTTCGTGATTGATGGAATTATGACCTCCCACAAACCTCCCAGAGCCCTTGACAGGCAAGTGGGTCCCAAATTATAGATTCTATCTAAGTTTCTTCACCCACGTTCACAAATGGTTCCTAACTATCTACTTGGTTTATTACGACGACCTTATTACGTTTATTACGGACGCAACTCCCCACTCCAGCTTACAGACGAGAATTTCTCGGCATCTTGCGCATCGCCTGGCGCACACCCAGGTCTCCGAGCACATCCTCCGCTGAAGAGAGTCAGGACAGATTTTGAATGGAATGAAACGAAGAAGACGCACCTCCACCGAGGACACTGTCGAAAGGGACTGTTCTATGATAGTGCTCAATGTGCTTGCCCATGCCTCCGCGCGAAATGCCGCGGCCGCCGAATATTTGTACAGCATCGGCAGCAGTCTCTTGCGCGGTTTTCGTGGCATACATTTTAACGAAAGCAATTTGGCTGTAGATTGGCAGATGGTCAGCTGTCGGAAGTAAGGAATACCAAGCTTACCCCGCTAAATGGGTCGACTGCTGCTTGTAGTCCATGTGGCACATCTGGTAGGTGACATTCTCGAGCCAGGCTTGCGCGCTCTCGACGCGGGAGATCATGGCTGAACCCTCGAGTCAATACGCGCATGGATTCGGAGTTGAACGACACTGACCCGCAAGTTTGGAACGAATGACGGCCTGCGAGGTCAAAGGCTTGCCGAATACCTTTCTCTGCGTCGCCCACCTGAAAATAAATGGATTAGTGGTTCGACATGACTGCTGTTGCGCTCCTCACTTGAGACACTCCTCGACGATCGCCCGCTGGGAACCGATGCTATTGCAGGTCATTCCCCACCTACGTTGTAGTTAAGTAAGGGAGTTATTTATCCAGTGCTCGTAGCTTGCCTCTCGTGGTTGAAGTTACTGCGAATGCCAAAACAATCAGAGACATCCCGTCGGCCATCCAAATGTTGCGTACCTTAATATAACTCGGAGACCGTCACCGTCTTCACCGAGAGTGTTTTCAAACGGCACAAGCACATTATCAAACGTAATATATGCGGTTCCTTGTTTTGAAGCGGTTGATCGTCTCAGTCTTGTGAATCAGGGTAGACTTACCTGCCGCAGGACTATAGCTCGTCTTGATCGGCTTTGTCTCAATGCCAGGCCCACGCTCAATCACAAGAACGACCATTCCCTTCTCGCTAGTCAACGTTTGAGTTAATTTGGTTTCAGTACGGGGTAATAAAAACGGCGCTAACCTGCGGCACCCAACTGTGAAGTAGTCGGCCATTGTTCCATTGGTGATCCATTTCTGTTTCCAGGTAAGAAAAATACTTGTTGAAAGCGCGAGAGTCCTCACCTTGGTTCCTGTCACGAGCCAGCCTTTGTCGGTCTTCTTCGCAAAAGTCTTCAAGCCAGCTGAAACAAGATAAACAACTGCTGTTTTCCTCCACAGACAAGGTACTCGCCTACATCCGAGCCCGCAAAGGCTTCCGTGATTGCGAGACATACAAGTTTCTTTCCTGCAAAGACTTCCCCGACAATTTTATCGCGGACTGCAGGTTGGCCGAAATTGAGGATGGGAGGAAGGCCAATGTATGTCCCTCCGCCTGCACCAATGAGCTGTTGTGTAAATCGACAGCGGGACAGACATACCAAGACCATCGAGATAACCACTGCATCCCAAGCAAGAATCATCAACGAGGATGGAAAGAAGAAATATGACAATGCCTACCGTGCGTGGAATCGAGAACCCTCCTGGGCCCTAGTGATAGTGATCGTCAGCGCGAGATGAATTAAACAGTAAAGAGTTTGGGAGACATTATGAGTTCATGGAAGTAGTCGAACTAGTGATCGTCAGCGCGACATAGATTAAACAGTAAAGAACTTGAACCTCTTCGGGCTTTACGAGGCCATCCATAAGAACACGACCTTTCAAATGAGGACCGGGCCCCAAACGCATGGCTAGAATGTTTGTCTGTACATCTGAAATGAGCCGGTGCGTTGCGAGAGAGCACGCGGCCACTTACACGGGCCATCGCGTCGAAAACCGCCTGCGACGGGCGCTTGCCGTCCTCTTCGCGCAGAGTGGCGTCCGGCATTATCACCTCCTCCATAAACTTGCGAACGGCGGTCTGGAAGCGGCGGTGGCTCTGTACGGAATGCTTAAGAATATGCACCGGATGCACCGTAAGCGGGAAGAGCGGACCTCAGTATAGTATGGGCTGTGGAAACCGGGGTTCAGCCACGTCGGCTCTGCGTAGGGAACACTGCTCAGGGCGCCAATTGCGGGAGGGGCGATTTGCTGCTCCTCGCCAGTGACACCAATCTGGAGGCGCGTGTACTTGAGAAGGACTGGCGAATTTGGAAAGGTCAGTTGCATTCTAGGTAAGAGGGAACCACGACCAGAAGGTCATCGAGTGGCGCAGCTGGCTCGAATGGATCCGCAGGCTCGATGGCGGGAAGCGCTTCCTCACTGACCTTCGTGACGATGGAGACCAAAGAACACGTCCGTCGCATCTTGACCGGCTGTAAAATCGTGTCAACCCAGTTCCATGGAGTCTGCTTCAATGCGTACCAACGTCTTCATCCAGAAGCACGCTCAACCCACCCGGGTGCATCTTAGCGAATTTGGAAAGGTCATAGACCTTGGAGTCAATTGTAACCCACTGTTTTTGGGGATGAGCTGAGCGCGCCAGACGCGGTGAAATAGCGTACCAGGTCGCCATCTGTGTTATGTTTGGACACCTCTTCAGCGGTAAATTGTTTTGTGGTAGACATAGTGGTGGTTGCAGTTCTACTAGTATAGCCGAAATCAGGTTAAAGTACTGGATCCGGTTTTCACGTGCAACAGCAAGTGATGCACCCAATCACACGCAATTCATAACGCCGCCAACACGGAGGTTGTTTTGCCGGAATTCAGCATTCAACTCGGTTCTCTGGATTCACTAGTACTAACGCTCGGTGCGGGACGACGACAAAAATTGATTACGGATCACAATTTTACAGGGACACCAACGCTGCACTGGATGCTTCAACCACAATTTTTCCACCGGCGACATTGTCCTCTTTATATTGTCCCTTTGCCAGACCATTCGAGTCCAACGCAAACGTCTGTCCCGCCCACGTCGTTAGATTCCCAAAAGTCACGTCGGCACCGGGAGCCTGAAGCCGCTTTACGGTCACTGACTTATTCGGGGGCAAGAAAGCCGAAATATCAAAAGTCGTGGTGGGCCGCGGTCCAGCGTCGGTCTGGTTGAATATTTGCAGATTGAGGAGGGCAATTTTCGAAGGGAACTCCTGTGCAGAGTCTTCCCAGAATCCGTATACGACACTTTGGCCTGCGCTGATGTCGCCCCCGGCAGTGGTAATTGTCGAGCCATTGGACTGACGTCCAGGCCACAGGTTAGCGATTCGGAGATTTTTGGAGTGGCCAATCGTTTCCGTGATGAACAGATACGCTGAGTACGATGGGAATACTTGTTTTTCGCCATTCAGTGCGTCCACAGGGTACCTGATGGGTATTTTTGTGTAAATGCAGGACAGAACGACAAACAAAACACTCGCCATGAATCATATCGGCTCAGACCACCATGATTTAGCTGCGTGGACGATTGTAAGGCAAGTGGCCCTCCTTGGTGGATGTAGAGACTTGATATCCGATGAGCGCGAAACATGTGGGCTAGGGATGCCGTACCGCGAAACATTGAGAGAGGCTGAGGATTGGTCAATGAACGCCAATTTAAACCTCATGCAGTACACGCACCCGCATAGAATGTAGTATCTAAAGCCAGAGTGCCTGGCCGAAAGTATCGGAAACA